TAACTGGCCACCACGGCCCAACGGTGCTCCCACTGCCTCTGGTGGTTTCCACAACAATACTACCACTCAACCTCCACTTAACAACAGTGGTTCTGGTTTGAGTAACAATTTAACAGTCGGTAGGCAGTTTCAGACAGCTAACAACGACTTCTGGGCCTTTGGCAATGCCTCCCTCTCTTCTATGCAATCACAGCAAGAGACTCCGGGTATCAGCGCAAGTAACCCACATCCTATGAACTCTTTCGGGATTCAGAATCAGAACCAAGGAATGCCGTCTTTTGGAAGCAGTTCATATGGTAACCAGAAGCCGCCAGCAGACATCAGTTCTATATTCAGTTCAAGCAGAACCGAGCAATCTGCGATGAAACTCGCACCGCCGCCTTCAATAGCTGTGGGAAGAGGAAGGGGAAGGGGTAGAAGTGGGACTTCTACCTCAAAGCCAAGTGGTTCAAAGCAGCAACAAACCGAGCAGCCATCGCTGTTAGATCTTTTGTGATTAGAGCTTTGGTCGAGACATTGGGTAAAAGACAGTACCTGTCAGAAAACAGAGGCATGTGCAGTGTGAGTGAGTGGGTTGTGTTTCTGCTGATTCTTGAGATTAAAAATTCCACCATATAATTTATATACATCACAGTTACAGGTTCTTTCTCTAAACTTTGTAAATTGTTTTGCTCATTGTTTTCTTAATTAGTCACTCTGATTCCGTTAGTGTTTTATCATAGAGCCTCTGTGCAGTGCAATGGATACATAGGAGATTTTTATCTTGCTTTCATGAACATAGTATCTCTCTTTCAATTTGGAATATGGTCCAGAAAAAAATCATGGATCACTCGTTGTACATAATAACTAGATATTAACCCGCGGTACACCGCGGATCTATATTTTCCCTAAATAAAAAAATGATTTTTTTAGAATGATCTATAGATATATGGTAAACCGCATGTCAATATTTTATAACTAAAAATCAAAATTTAAGTTGTATTTGTTTTATTTAGTGTTTAAGATTGTATAATTGTATTTTGATCGCTAATTCTAGGATTTTACCCGTAATATACCATCCCGTATTAATATCGATCTAAATCCGTCCCACTATATAACCCCGTCCCATGAAATTAAACATCATTTTTGTAATTTTTTTTATAAAGTTCAAATATTTCTAATATTTGAAACTTCATAAAAGTTTTAATATGACTCAAACTTCATAATTGTATTTTGATTGTTATATCTAGGATTTCACCCGTAGTATACCGTCTCGTATTAATATCTTTTATAAATATTTATAATGTTTAAACTACTTATAAATTCTTATAAAATTCAAATATTTATAATATTTGAAACTTCATAAAAGTTATAATATTATAAATAATTAAAACGTTTAATAAAGTTAGACTTTTTTAAAAGTTTAAATAATTATAATATTTAATTTTTTAATAAATTTTAAATATTTGGATCCACATTTATACTATATACTATAGAAATTAGAGTTTATGAGTTTAATAAGTATACTTTAATAAGAATTATTACAGTAATAAAATTTACAATCAATTATATATGTCTTACAATTTGGATGTATGAAATTGTTGATCTCATTTGTAAGCATGAGTGGAATTCAAAACATTTGGGTTATAGTTTGTATTTTCGTTTTTTATTTTTTCTTTTAAGTTTTTTAAAAATCAATGCTATCAAACTGTAGTTATCTTATATATATATATATTAAGATTATCATTAAACATGAAGATTTACCTAGAAAAAATAGGGTGAATAAAAAAAACTAACCATATGAAAGAATCTGACGTAAATTTAAAGCATATGCTCTTGATAATGGCAATCATCAATGGGTTGCTCATCTTGTATAGGATTATCTGCGCAAGACATCAAATGTTTATTAAATTCATGAATCAGAAAAATGAAAGTTCATATAACAAATAAAGATTGGAATGGGTAAGAAGAGGTATTTGTTTGATGAGTCTTCTAATCGAGTAAAATTGTGGTATTTATAGGGTAGGTAGGCATCTAGGTTTATTGTTAAGGTAGTTTGATAATATCTTGGAGAGAAAGTAGAAAATCAAAGATATTATATACAACGAAAGTTTAGGATATGTTTAAGGAAAGATTAGGAAATCGTTATATAACAAAATTTATTTGAAAAAGATTGTAAATGATTTGGTTTTGCAGAGAATCTTACAAAAAAGCTAAGCAACCATTTAAAAGGAATAGAGCCGATTAATGTGGTAATTAGTTTAGGAAATCACATTAAACCGAATTAAAAAAATAATTATAGTCATAACTTTGTTTCTTAAAATCAAATGTTAAGAAAAATATCGAAGAGTATATAATTATGGTATCATCGTTGAGATTTTCTTGGGCGGGAATTATGGATTCAATTAGAGAAGGGAACCATATAATGGAAAGAATTTAATTAGCCATAATTATGTTTTAAAAATATTTTATTGCATAATATAAAGAGAATATAGATGATATATGGTAATTAGTTAAGATGGCATAAATATTCGAAAATCATCTCAAGATAAAGAGTAATATAGCCTATTAATATAAGAAGAAGTTAAGGAATAAGGAAACATAAATATATGTGTAATTATCTATATTAATAACGTTTTTTTGGTTAGAGATATGTAGAATTAAATGATAATTTGGTATTAATTAAATGCTATCAAATATCTCAGAGATTTTTGCAAGATTCGTAAACGGAAAATCTTTAATGCTACTATTGATAAAAAGGAATAGAACCAATTAATGTGGGAAGTAGTTAAGGAAATAAGATTAAAACGAATTGTATGTTTAATTTAGTCTTAAATGTCGTTTTTATTACAATATTCCTTAAATCTCTTATTTTAGATCCGAATAGGTTTAAACCGGGTAAAACCCGGATCCAAATGATTAAAAGCAAATAAAACCTGTAAAAATGTATATGTAGATATGAGTTTAATACCATTAAATTAATCAAAGATTTGTAATCATAATTGGAAACGAATAATGCAGTAAATGCGATTTAGTAATGTTGTAAAGAATATGCCATTTATGTAGAATGATTGTTGCGATTAGTTTCCAATTAGTTTTATTTTTGGGATTATAGTATCTCAAATTTTAAACTAATTTAGATTTTATTGTTTTGTTTACATAAATACGAAAATAATTTGTTCACCCACATCATAAAATATTACCAAAATATATATATATATATATATATATTACGTAATATTAAATAAAAGATTATATAACTATTTTCATTTGATGGTGTAGACAAATTATTATTAATATTTATGTAATTTAATTACAAAAATAATTTAGAAAAATAACAAATATTACTTTTTATAACAAAACAAAATATTATTCGTAAAAACAATATTTATTATAAAAAATATTTTGAGAATCCTTTAGAAATTTAATATTAGATATTCAAATATATCAAAAACATAATTACGGATTATGTGAAGATTAGGATATATAATCTTCAAATAAACATATTTTATTATGATTTCCTTATGAATGTATATATTAATTGTTATTTTGATTTTAAATTTATTGCAATTTAAATGGGGAATTGCCTATATTTAATCTGTTATTGTAAAAGAAAAATGATGTAGCTTATTATTGGAGTATTTACAAAAATTTATTAACATAATATATATATATATATATACTGTTAAAAAATAAATACATTTTTCTTTATAATTTCATAATATATTTATTGTTAAAATCTGGACATTTATTATGAGCATAAATATGAAAAACGATTTTCCATTAAAATTGGCTATTTATTAGGGTCATTAATATGAAAGATTATTTACCATTAAAATAGGTAACTTCTTTGTAATTAAAGAAACATTAAACGGAATAAGTAGATGAATTAAAGACAACATGGCTTCATTTATCAGTTTGTAATTAAGACAACATCCCTAAAATTGCTTATCCAAGATCCGAACAGACTAAAACCGGGTCAAACCCGGATCCAAAAGAATTAAAGCAAAAAAGTACTGCTAAAATGTATATGTAGATTTCCTTCTAAATTGATGATTTATAGTTATGACTTATATATAACATGTTTTGCAAGAGATTAAATTATTGTGATCTTCTTATGTATCAATTCAATTCTTGTACCTTTTTTTATCGTCGAGTTTGTCCCTAGTGTCTCTAGTGTTTTGGCCTCTGATGAAAAAGCTAATAACGATTTTCTTTTGGTATGAAATGTTTGTTTTACTTTTTACCCGATACGGGTGGAAAGAGGATCAACATGATGAATATAGTCTCCTATAGGATCATATTATATTACATGTGAATCTCCCAGATCGAGATTTGGCTACAAGGATCAAGAAATATTATGTAGGGATTCGTTGTGGAACGAGAGAAAGGTGTTTTGTTTGCTTAACTTTAAATCTCAGTTAGTAAACTATTTAAAGCCGTCTTTTTATGCAAACCTCTTAAGTGTTTTTCATGCCTTCACCTATGATAATGTAAGAAGATTATGGATATTGTTGTGTTGAGATCTGTTTCATCTACTAGATAATATTTGTGTACGTTGTCCAATCAAATAATTTCGTTTTACCATTGTTTTATATAAATTGAAGAAAATATATCTAACAAAAAAGAAAGTGAATTCGATGTTTTGAATAAGACAACAATTAAGGCATCAATTACGTGTTGTGTTAATTACACTTAACTTGAGAAACCCTTTTAAATTGAAGTACCATAGACCCGGCGCCGTTATCTTGGCGCCATTTACGTTCCACCCTTTCTTTTGTCTCTTTTTTCTAAATCATAATCCCCAAAACCCTAACCTAATTACCTAACTAACCACCCTAATATCAAGATTTACATTGTTTAACAATCCCTAACCGTACATATTACGTAATGCGAATATCTAAAATATCCATTACAGTTTACTATGATAAAAGATCAGAATCAAACATCAAAACTAGCAAGAAAATTACCATTATGTGGGTGAACTCATATTGAAACAAACCTATGTGGTAATCAAAATATTAGTTAAAAATTGAACATATTAAGAAGATGAGAGATAATAGTACATGTTATCCACTTGTCAGTTCTATAAACTATTAGTAAAAAAAATAGAAAAGGGGATTCAAATTGAAGTAACTAAGAACCGTTTTTTTAGCAGTTAAGCTGAAATTCAAAAAGCCATAATCTTCGCTCTGAATCTCATCAGCCCCGGTCTCATTCTCTGGCTATATATATACGTGTGTGATGAAGTCGTACCTTCAAGCCAACACAATTACAAGAATGGCTTCTCCTTTCTTCTTTGTGTTCCTCCTTCTCTCTGCACTTTCACTGGAGAATACATATGCCAGTCCCAATTACAGAGAAGCACTCTCAAAGTCATTACTCTTTTTCCAAGGTCAGCGGTCTGGCCGCCTCCCCGGTGATCAAAAACTCTCATGGAGGTCTAGCTCTGGCCTCTCTGATGGCTCCTCTGCTCATGTAAGACCCTAAAACTATATACCCATTGCCAGTAGCAGTAGAAGCGTATAACATCAATTTGGATAACATGGTTAACTATGATGAGTTGCAGGTGGACTTGACAGGAGGCTACTATGATGCTGGGGACAATGTGAAGTTCAATTTCCCTATGGCGTTCACTACCACGATGCTCTCCTGGAGCTCTTTGGAGTATGGTAAGAAGATGGGATCCGAACTCCAGAACTCCCGTGTGGCCATCCGTTGGGCCACAGACTATCTACTGAAATGTGCCAGGGCCACACCCGGGAAGCTTTATGTTGGAGTAGGAGACCCTAATGGTGATCACAAGTGCTGGGAACGCCCAGAAGATATGGACACTCCTCGCACAGTCTACTCTGTATCTTCCTCAAACCCTGGCTCTGATGTAGCCGCTGAAACCGCTGCTGCTCTAGCTGCAAGCTCCATGGTTTTCAGGAAAGTTGATCCCAAGTACTCTCGCTTGCTCCTGGCGACAGCAAAGAAGGTCATGCAGTTCGCAATTCAATACCGAGGCGCTTATAGTGACTCCCTTTCCTCTTCCGTCTGTCCTTTTTACTGCTCCTACTCTGGCTACAAGGTCTGCATTCATATGTTTACCATGATCCTAATCTGAGAGAGACATATCCATGAATCATTGCAACCAAACTACACTTTCCAATCTTATGGTAACAGGACGAGCTGGTGTGGGGAGCGGCATGGCTGCATAGAGCAACCAACGACCCGTATTACACAAACTTCATAAAATCCTTAGGAGGTGGAGATCAGCCTGACATCTTCAGTTGGGACAATAAATACGCCGGTGCCTATGTTCTTCTCTCACGAGTATGGCCCAATCCTTATAAATTCACATACACAAACTTAAGCATTTCCTAATTAGTTCAACGATTCACAAACTATATCTTTCGCAGAGAGCAGTACTAAACAAAGACAACAACTTTGAGCCCTACAAGCAAGCAGCTGAGAATTTCATGTGCAAGATCCTTCCAAATTCTCCCTCCTCGTCAACAAAGTACACTAAAGGTAAACTTAACACACAAATTCTCTCCAAAAAGCATTTCAATTACTCAAATCGATGGATACTCAAAGCTATAACTTTCAGGTGGATTGATGTACAAATTACCTCAGAGCAATCTACAATACGTGACATCGATAACATTCTTGCTCACAACCTACGCCAAATACATGAAATCCACGAAACACACCTTCAACTGCGGAAACTCACTCATCGTCCCCAATGCACTGATAAATCTATCGAAGCGACAAGTCGATTACATCCTCGGTGTGAACCCACTGAAGATGTCGTACATGGTTGGATTCAGCTCCAATTTCCCCAAAAGAATCCACCACAGAGGATCCTCACTCCCGAGCAGAGCCGTCCGTTCAAATTCTCTGGGCTGCAACGGCGGATTCCAATCTTTCAGAACACAAAACCCTAATCCTAACATATTAACCGGAGCAATCGTCGGAGGACCGAATCAAAACGATGAGTATCCAGATCAGAGAGATGATTACACCCGATCCGAGCCAGCTACTTACATCAACGCTGCATTCGTCGGACCATTGGCGTATTTCGCCGCCGGCCGGTCGCCGTAAATCTGTTAGTCTAAACCCTTACCCTTACCGTGTAATGGGTAAGGCTATTTCAGATGTAAACTTTAATGGGCCTTTAGGTCCATCATTAATGGACTAATTAGAGAAAGCCAATCTTTGGCTCTTTTAAGTGTTAACTAGTAGTTACTGAATTGATCAGAGGGATTATTAACCTTATGTGGAGTGATTAACCTTTTTCGAGATTCGACATTAATCTTTAAAACTTATAGTTACTATCTGGAGCGCATGGAACTGGTGCATACACATTTTTAAATGCACCAGCCAACGATACGGTTTTCCAACTAATTGTAAGGGTAGATCATGAAGTTTGATTTCCAACTTTTAATCACTTGATGACCTTTTTCATTTTGGTCCATTGATGATGATATCAAAAGATGAAGAATGTGGCGGATGATTTTGTCCAGTAGATGAGTTACTAAACCGAAAACCGGATTTGTACCAAGAGATTAGAAAACAATTACTACTATAGTTTTAGATTAGTACTATTAATTAAACGACGTACACTATAAGATGGATTTGAAATTGGCCAGCTGTTATCGAAAGCTGGCTTTCACGTTAACGTGCCGCACAAATCACAGCTCATCTTTCCTTCTTTCTCTTTTTGTCGTTTTCTCTGTTTAAAAATTTAAGTATTTTATTTCTCGAGGCATTCCTTATAATAATCAATCAATCAGTCACAATTTTATTTCTTTGGTTAATAAGTTGACATTCTTTGTTCATATAACTTCATTGGTCAAATATTTCTATATAGACCTCTAGGCTTCAAAATAGAACTTTATTATATGCTTAACATTGTCCAATTCACTCAGACTAGTAAATAAATTTTTATGAAATCCTTCGAAATTAAAATCGATGTTTTTATGATGGTCCAAGAACTTGGTCATCCTTCAGCTGTAGAGCAACCTTTTGAATTGTGAGATTATAGTACCAATTACGATTCTCATAATTAAATCTCTGACATTTGAGCAAGAAAAGTACGATATAATATGGAAACCAATGCTAATAAACACAAAGCACAAAATTTCGGAATTGTAATCTTTCCGTAAAAATTGGAAAATATTACTTAGATTTGCACCAACTTTGGAAATAAGGTAAAATCATCAATAAATTGCCAAAATTTGCAAACTCTGGACCAATCCATCTTCTTCGCCTCTCTAAAACAAAATTTGTCAATTTGAAGTCTCTCTCTTTTGACTCTTCTTCTTTTGCTCCTTTCACCGCCGCAACGGTTAAAAACCTCGTGTGATTCTTCTTCTTATAGAAAACAGAGACATCGAAGAAACTGGTGAACCGTGTACGCTTCGTCGTTAGTGATGCGGAGACGGAAGATATCGCCGGAAAATCATTGGCCTAGATTCAATCCATTAGAGACTCATCGGCGACGGCTTCGTTAGCGTACCGAATCCTCCTCCCTCCTCTGGGTTGTCTAGGAATCACACATATCTTCTTTCTTCCATTCTCTCTCAGGTGATTCTTTCTCCGATCAAAAATTAGATCTTGGAATTCGAATTCCTTATTTCCAGCTTAAGCTTCTTAAAAGTCTTTGTCTTTCTGGGTTTATACTAGAAGTTGATTAACTTTGACATCTAATGTGAATTTGCTGATAACAGGTTGTGAGTACTCTCTTTGGCTGGATGTGCAATGCAAAGGTCTAGAAGAAGAGTTTCTGTGAACAATTTTAATGGAAGGAACAGCTTTTACAAAGTATCTCTGTCTCTTGTTTTTCTCCTTTGGGTTCTTCTCTTCTTATCCACCTTGTTGATTAGTCTTGGAGATGGTGCCAAAGGTAATCTCCAAGTTCCTTTTTTTGGAACTAAACCCTCTTCTGATCATTGTGATAACATCTAGTCATAGAACAATGATACGCTTGACATCATTGTTGTTTTTTTTACCTTAAGCATATTAAGAACCTATTCTTGTGTATTTGCAGATACACCTTTGAATGACTCTGTAGGAATGGCTGATCCGGATGATGGTCAGTCAGGTGAGAAAGTTGTGTCCTTTGATGGACCATTATCACTAGAGTCTGCTTCTGTTCATGTTACGTCTGATTTGAGTCGGAATGATGATATAACCCTGTCTGAAGATAGTGAAGACAAAGAAAAATCTGTGAAGGAAGCAGAGATCAAGAGCACAGTTTCAGGGAATGATTTAGAAAGCAAGGACAGTTACAATTCGAAGCAAAGTGAGATAACCAAGAAAGATACAGGGATTGATGCAGGAAGCAAAGAAGATGACTTTTTGATGCAAAGTCAAATGAGCATAGATAATGATACAGAAAGCAAAGACAATGTGTTTTTGAAGCAAAATCAGGTGAACAAAACAGATCCAGGGAATGATACTGAGATCAATGCTTCAAAGGTTGATCAACCATCTCGTGCTGTTCCGCTTGGCCTTGATGAGTTTAAGAGCAGGGCGTCCAATTCTAGAAACAAATCGTTATCAGATCAGGTCAGTGGTGTGATTCACAGGATGGAGCCTGGAGGGAAAGAGTACAATTATGCCTCTGCTTCAAAAGGTGCAAAGGTCCTGTCTTCCAACAAGGAAGCAAAAGGGGCTCCAAGCATCCTAAGCCGGGACAATGACAAGTACCTCAGGAATCCCTGTTCTACTGAAGGTAAATTTGTTGTCGTAGAACTTTCAGAAGAAACATTGGTAAATACCATCAAGATCGCGAATTTCGAGCATTACTCTTCCAATCTGAAAGAGTTTCAGCTTCAAGGCACCCTGGTTTATCCGACTGATACCTGGGTTCATATGGGAAACTTCACGGCTTCAAACGTGAAGCATGAGCAGAACTTCACACTTCTCGAGCCAAAGTGGGTGAGATACTTAAAGCTAAATTTTCTAAGTCATTATGGTTCAGAATTCTACTGCACCTTGAGTTTGATAGAAGTCTACGGAGTGGATGCCGTTGAACGAATGCTGGAGGATTTGATATCTGTCCAGGACAACAAAAACGCATTCAAAACCCGAGAGGGAGATTTTGAGCAGAAGGAGAAGCCAGTGCAGCAAACAGAGTCATTAGAAGGCGATGATAGTGCTAGTAGGAGCATGCAGAGAGAGAACGAGAGGGAAGCCCCACCAGAGAATATGTTAGCCAAGACTGAAGCATCAATGGCAAAGAGTAGTAATAAGCTGGCAGATCCCGTGGAAGAGATGAGGCATCATCAGCCAGGGAGCAGAATGCCAGGGGACACAGTGCTGAAGATACTGATGCAGAAGTTAAGGTCATTGGACTTGAACCTATCGGTTCTAGAGAGATACTTAGAGGAACTGAACACAAGATACGGGAACATATTCAAGGAGATGGACCGTGAAGCCGGTGTCAGAGAAAAGGCGATTGCGACTTTGAGACTTGACTTGGAAGGTATGAAGGAGAGGCAAGAGAGAATGGTGAGTGAAGCAGAGGAAATGAAAGAGTGGCGAAAGAGAGTGGAGGCAGAGATGGAGAAAGCAGAGAAAGAGAAAGAAAACACAAGAGAGAGTCTTGAGGAAGTAAGTAAAAGACTTGAGTGGATGGAGAAGAAAGGCTTAATGGTGTTCACTGTGTGTCTAGGGTTTGGCACGATCGCGGTTATTGCAGTTGTGGTTGGTGTGGGAACAGGTCGAGCAGAGAAGACCGGTATTGGGGCTTGGCTCTTGTTATTGATAAGCTCAACATTCATTATGTTCGTTTTGTCTCTTTGATAAGAATTTTGATCTTATTTTTTACACTGTAGAGCCATGTTACCAATTTGGGTGAAATATACCTTGATTTTCAATAACCGGACACACATACATATACACTTGACAATTTCCCCAATAATCTAATGCCTCCTAATGTGTAACATAGATTGTATTCGACACAATGAAGTCTTCGTATAGAAAACTTAAAGAATGGCACAAAAGTCTTATTTTGAGGACGTAAGTAAAAGTGAAAGCAAGTGCGTTGAGTGGATATAGTAGGTGAGGTACTAGGGACCCATGAGTACTACAATTTTCAACGAGGCTTCAGTTTCTTATATAACACAAGAGCTGGTCTTTGTTATTTAGTATTGAATCGTGGGAGAGTTTGATCGACCAGTACTTATATTAAATAATGGCTACAAAGGCATCAAATTTAGTTGTTTTTCTTCTCTCTTTGCTTCTTCTGCTCTTATTGATCTCCTTTCAAGTTGGAGTCGCCGACGCCAAACGCAACAAACGTTAGTATATATTGAATCTCTTTCTTTGCTATATTGGTTTTTCTAAAAGAAAGAAGAAGCTTACATATCCAATGACTTTCTATCAGTCTCTCATCTAATTTATATCTTCATCATTCTTCTTAACCTCTCAACTGTGAAGACTAATCAGTTTTTTTCTCATGAAAAATCTTGGTCTGGATTGTGGATATTAAATGTTTTTAGCTCATGGTTTCATTATTTTCATTATAATCATGTTAACATGTATGTTGTATGCGAAGAAGTACTATATATGTAGAGATGATTAAAATTGCTCATGGTGAAAAACATTATTGTTAATAAGCAGGCCACGACCAGCTTTTGGATTACCCTCGCCCTCCCACCGCCCCTATATATCTGCCGCCCTCTAAATCGCGCAAAGGAAAAGGTCCATAAGCCAAAGTACGTACGTTTTGACCAGTGATGGAGAAGAAACTATATATAATGGTCAAGATTCGAGATTAATGTTGTTGTGATCTCATATTAGTAAACGTTTTTCTGATCATATCACATTTTTAGATCGTATTTGGTTATAAATATGTTGTCGGTTGTACTGGTTTGGCCACATATATGTCGTAACTAAACAATGGCTATTTTTGGCTAAATTAGTTGTCATCATCACGAATAAATGTTATAATTATGTCGTGTCTTAGTAGTACTGATCGGTCAGAGATGATGACTAGGGATTGATGTTAATCACTGTCTATATTAGTCACAGATTTTTTCGTAACCATTTGTGACAAAACATGAAAACCCACAGAAAAATATGGGGCTATATGACAAAATTTCCCTTGTTTTACTGATATGTCAACACCTAGAAGAGCTACATGGTTCGTATAGTTGTCTAAAATTCAACCTAAGTAGGTGGAAGAAATCAATTTAAACCGAACAGGACGTGAGCCAAGAGACTTTCGTATGGAAACTTAAAGGCGCGTTGAATAGAAATGTAGTTGGCGACTAGTACACATTTCAGCGATGCTTATCCTTTAGGCTTTTACATTTCAAGGAAGCTTTTATTTTCTCATATATATTATATAAATCATCCTGAAGGTAGTCTTTGATATGGAATTGTGAGAGAGTGGAACACTTCATTAGCAAAATGGCTGCAAAGACATCAAATTTAGTTGCTCTTCTTCTCTCTTTGTTTCTTCTGCTTCTATTTGTCTCCTCCTCACAAGTTGGAGTAGCCGAGGCCAAACGCCACTTAAGTTAGTATTTCTTACACTCATTTTCATGCTTATAATATATTAAGTCTCGTCTCGTGTATACATATATTTGTATTCACCTTCTTTGTAGATTTTTTTGTTTGAAGAAACTAATCATACAATGTGGTGCAGGTAACAAATTGCGTTTGGATTGTGTTTCTGATCCATCTCCTCCTCCTCCTCGTCGTTCCATGGCCCCTCCAATTTTTTTACCGCCTTCTAGATCACACAAAGGGAAAGGACCATAAACAAACACATGCAAGTAACCGAGAAGAAGTGATCAAGATTTCATACATAAAGGAAAAAGAAAAGAAGAAGTGATCAAGATTACATATAGCCATAGGGTAGAGTAGTGTGAAAACTAAAAGTAGAAAAGAAAAAAACAATGAAGGGTCGGTCAATTGACTATTATACAACTTATTGTGTCTAATACAAGTTGAACCTTTTCATATCATGTTGGAATTTTAAATCATATATTGTAAATATATATATGACCATGTTGTATATATATATATATATATTATATAATAAAGTACTTTTAGATAAATTGGTTATTTTATTCTCTTTTTCACAAATTGTAGTTTTTTAATTAGAACTATTTTTGTTATTAATTCGAACTGAAACCGGCCAGCACACAAAAACACAATTTATCGAAATTTTCATATCTAACCAATTTCAAACCGTTCTGGTTTAGTCTGATGGAACCGAATTCTTATTTGCTAAAGTTTTGATAGAATTGATAAACCTTTTAAACATTTAACGACACATGCACACATACAAAAGAGCAAAGTGAAATGCCAAATGAAGACATTATACTCAACCACGGCATCTATATTAACAACTTTATAAGTCTTTGGTCGTGCATAGCCTCTAGCAAACCTGAAAGCGCCGGTACCTCCGATGATTGGCAACTCTCTCTCCTCCAGCAGTATCGGATTCCGTCCATACATCGCAGCGGTGCTGCCGTTTAACTCTCCTTCCGTGAACGCCAAGTTAAAGACCATTGAGAAGAAGCCAAACGTTTTCATGTCCGTCGATGCGTACAACCGCTGAGCTCTCCCCACTTCCTTCGAGCTCAGCTCAGGTCCCTCGGTGAACGATGCTGGTGGGATTGTCACCGGAGATGATGTCATGGAAGTAGAAGTGGAGGTGTGTGAGTTTATCCGGCTTATTTCCTTGAAACGGCATCGTTTTGGAGTAAGGTTCGGATTGTGTAACGGTGATGGTAAGAAGGAGAATAGATGAGAAGATCATAGGAAGAAGAAGAAGCAGAAAAGGTGTAGCCATGTTTGTTATTTGTAGCTACAAAGTGATAAATATGTGACTTATTGCATGAAAGCACGAATTTGTTGGTTTATATAACATTTATGTGTATATTATGAATAAATGTATATTGTTTCCAGATTGGTGACAATAACATATCAATTGACGAGGAAAACTAGGGAGTTAGATTTATAAACATGTAGATATTCCCACCCCTACGAATATATGTAAATGATAAGGTGTAAACAAAAAAAAAAAAAAAAAAAAAAAAAAAAAAAAAAAAAAAAAAAAAAAAAAGGTGTAAACAAACAAATAAGAATAAATATAAGACTTTTTGTATTGCGATGACTTTGTTGAAAAATGTAAGACATTGTTCGATAAATAAAATAAAGACCCATGCAAAAAAAGGAACAAGAGAAACTCATATTTGATTTACAAGTGATGATACAACTGATCAGTTGTATACAAATAAACTCAAAACTGCCTTATTTGCCCAACTAGATGTGGGTTGTTCCAAATTTTTTTTTTTTTTTTTAATATGTATCTAGCTGACTAGCTCAATAAAAATGAGGAAATAAACATTTTTATCATTTAATTTCTATTTTTCCTCCTTTACTTCCCTTTAAATAATTGAACGTACCGGCAGAAGATAATTCAATTAAAAAAAAAAAAAAAATCCGATGCCTCAATTCTCACGCATATCCCACTCGCGTCACGACGACAGATCACAGATCCATGAGAGCAGAGGCTGCGTGAGAGACACGAGCAAAGAAGTGCGTGGAGGATGTTGGATAATGTGGGCAATATTATTGTCTGTCTAGTCCAATATCTTTCTCCATATACCACTTTAATAATTATTTTTAGGCTTTCATTGTTCTCTTCCCTCTTCTTCTTGTTCTCACTATCAATCAACCCTAAAAATAAAAACTTTATCTTATGAAACTATATAGTAAGTAGATCTCTAATCTCTTTCCTACTATTTATATAGACTCCTTTGTTGTAGCCTACTTCTTGCATATTAACCCTTTGTGTCTCTCACAATCCCACAAGGTAGAGATAGAGATATATAGCTCAAGATAATAGCTAATTTGTTTTACTCTAGAGAGAGAGAGAGAGAGGGTTTTGATCGGAGAAAAAAATGGCGGGAGGAATAGGGTTAGGAGACACGACGTACACGAAGGTGTTTGTGGGAGGATTAGCTTGGGAGACGCATAAGGAGACGCTGAAGAAGCACTTTGAGCAGTTTGGGGAGATTTTGGAAGCTGTGGTTATCACCGACAAGGCCTCCGGCCGATCCAAGGGCTACGGATTTGTACGTTTATACAAAACCTTGTTCCTATATATATATATATATATAGAGAGAGAGAGAGAGAGAGTGAATAATAATATGATATGTGTGTATATTATATAGTTAAAAGGGGAATTAACTGATAAGTAAAGTGGTGATGATCGATCAGGTGACATTCAGGGAAGCGGAGGCAGCGAGGAGAGCTTGTGTGGAGGCTACTCCGGTGATCGACGGGAGAAGAGCAAATTGCAACCTTGCCTCTCTCGGTCTTCAAAGATCCAAACCCTCCACTCCTAACCATGGTTAATACATATACATATCATCTCTCTATCTTTCTCTTTTTCTAGAGTCTAGATGTGTATGTGTGTGTATATATGTTCATGATGCTATGCAAGTTAGATCAAGAAAAAGGGATAATTCTTAGTTACTACTATATATGGTTAGCTAGTGTCTACACAAAGTTGGTTTTATTAATTAGAAATTTGTGTGGCGGCCAAAGCAGTGGAATTAATAACCTTAATATTAATAGTTGGTGACTGATGTTAATGGACCATTGTGTCGATCATCAAAGTGACAGTGATGATGATGATGATGATGAATGTGTTAGGAGGAGGAGGAGGAGGCAGGATTAACAATATGAGAGTGATGATGAGCACAATGCAGACTGGTTTTGGACCACCTCCACCACCACCACAACCACCCACCTTCCCTCACTATCCCCATCTCCCTCTCAATCTCTTTGGGTACACTCTTCTTTTTCCCTTTTTTTATTTATTTTCCATGTATTGATGGTGATGATAGTACATATGCATGCATCAACATAACATGATATCATTCGAGACCAAAAGAATGCCAACTCATATATGTCAATTAAACCGAACAAAGCAATTGCATTACATAGCTGGCTGTCCTCTAATGTTCCCATTTTGGTTGTGGACCGACACTATTATTATCAGTAATAATAGATAGATTAATTTTCACTGTCTATAGAGAGATTTAAATATGACTGACAAAGTGGTCAACGGACAGCTTGTAAAACTAAAAATATACTGATTCCATTTCCATCTTTCACCAATCATTTTACTCTCTCATCACATGCTTCCTCCTGCCTTGTGTCGTGACTCGTGACCACGTGCCACGTGCATTCATATTTGTTGTCACTCTTAAAGTGTAATTTGTTTTGTAAAAAGAAAAAAAAAAAAACATTGATTTGATATTCGCAGGTACTCTCCATACTCGCCAGACTACTCATCATTCCCTACGGTCCGTTACCTTTTTCTTCTCTGACACAAAGAGTTTTGTATAACGAACTGAAGAAGAATCTTTCTCTATCTCAACGAATCTTATCTAGTTGTTCATGCATGATCATATAACATAAGCCTTAATCTAATACTAGTATCATTTGTAACAGAACTTATACGGCATGTACGGCTGCACTTCTGGAGGACAATACGGAGTCTATGGAAACAGAAATGGCGGAAGCGGTGGACTAACCGCAGCAGCAGCATCCGCGGCTCCTTTTTATCCTTGCGGTGGAGGACATGCACATGCTGGAGTCCAGTTCTCTCAGCCACAACCATTTTATCATCACTTGTCTTCTTATAACCCTCACCATTACTCTCCTCTGACCATTTCTATGCAACAAGGTTCGTATAATAGACATATGTACACCAAAGGCCAAAGATATGCATACACTAATATTGTTGACAGTGTGTTTTGTTGTGCCACAGGCGTAACCGGCTTTCCCCTTCAGCCACCTCTCATTCCCTACCGTTAAAGAAGCTTAGAGTCATTGGTAGCTATCAAGCTTCATCTTCTTCTTCTCAGGTCAAGAGCCATTCTATGGTTTAAAGGATGCTCTCTGGCTAATCTCAACACTTAGTTCCTCTCCCTCTGCTCTAAAAACCACCTCACTTTATGGAATTTGAGGTGGCTTTTTATTTGCAGACCTCAATGGGATCTCCTATTTCAGATGGTGGTCATGTCGTATTTGTCATCTGTCTCACCTTCTAGCAATTGCATCTTCTCGAGAGAATGGGTTTCTCTCGCGAGATATTGCTAATGGAGCATCATCATCATCAATCACTCATGTGCCAAACTCAAGCTGATGCATGTATCAGCTTAATTTGTTTATGTTGTTTAGCCTAGGGATGGCTAAATCAACAAGACAAAGAAAAATGTCTGTTAGGATAAATGTAAAACAAAATCAAGCACCAAAACCATGTGCTGTTTGAAAGACTGTAAAATGATTGCATATTTAAGCAAAATGATCAGCACCAGACCCTGCAAGCCTTTTTGTTGCATCAACATGTTAGTCCTTAGTATCCTAAGGACTTAGGTCGTCAAGGCTCAGATTATATTTCTTGAATAAAAATGCATTATTCCCATAAACCCCTAGAATACTATGGTACACATACAGCTTGATGCTTTTCAGTTTCTGAATCTAGTTTGTTTATAAAGATACTGGAAATATAAGTCCAAGGTTGTAAAGTTCTCTTCACTTTCTGTTCGTGTCTGTCCTTACTACTTCATCTTGATTTGAACCTGTAATCAACAAAAGCTTCATATTGCAGAGCAATGACCACTGTTCTCACATTTCCTCATGTTCACAAGTATTCCAATGTATGGTTCTCAGTCCAGTTTCAAACCTTCTAGTGTTGTCTGTCTCAAGAAGGGCTGGAAAAATTAAGACATATGGTTGTGTGCTAGTGCTACACAGTCAACATCTTACGAGAAAACATGTTGTAGCCCAGTTGTGTTAGTGCAGGCCTCAAGATCTATCTACATACCACAGAGAAGCTCAAGGAAGTTATAATATCTTTGTGCATCAACCGAAATGGACCTCTCTAGCTTCTGCATAATTCACAGTTCGGACCTCACAAATCATGAATAAGAGGACAAATAAAGAAGTTTAAATCTTAATAAGGTATGCATTTGATTCAACTAAAAATCACCATCCTGGAAAGATCAACACAAATTGAACACAAACCCTAGCTCGTGTTAAGCAAGAACTACGAAACATGAACATTCTAAAATCCACTTATAAGGAAAAACAAAACGTATAAACACTTCAAAAATTCACAAAAGAAGTGAAACAAATCACAATGTATCAAAAATAGGATCCACGACTGAGAAACTATAAAAAAATCTAGATGATTCCTATAAGTTAGATCCATGATGAAGCCGATAAAGAAGATTAGCGCGAGGCGCGAGCACCATAGAAAAGAAGTTGAAAACCTCACATTAGTAATTGAAGCAATGCCTCGATTACCCAATGGTAGGTGTGAGTGAGGTTTTCAATTTCTTCACGGGTGTTCGCGCTTCATTGCCTCGATTCACCAACAAATAAATCAATCCATCAATCGCAATCTCTGCTGCTCCCAGAAAGAAGAAGAAGAAGAAGAAGAAGAAGAAGAGGAAGAACTCTCAGACCTTTCTTCTTGTTCTGTTCAGCTATTGGGCCGTAAATAGGCCCATTTTAGGGACAAACGAAGCGGGTCGGGTTATATTGGTGTAGGCCCAAAAAAAGTCTTTATATCATGTTGTTGTGTGATGCTTTTGTTTACGGTAATCTATACTATTAATTGGGAAGGATTATATAAAAAATAACCTTACAATATGTACAAAATTACAAGAGAATGCCATTACAATTTATGTTTTTATTGACAAATTTAAAAATTCCGTGGAGGGGTAAAATTGTAAAATTGCCTCTATTAGGACGCGGATCTCAGATCCTACACTCGGATCCTTTTGCGAAAATATAGCTGACCCGATTAGAATGAACCTTGGATACTTACAATCAATACACACGCGGATCTTGGATACTTCTCGGGTCTCTATCCAAGCTAAAACGGTAAAGCACGCGGGTCCTTGGTCACACCTGAATTTTTAAAGAGTTATAAAAACGCGGGTCCTTGG